GTTCCACTACCAAGTTTAATCCCGGCTGGTTTTTTATATCTGTACCCAGACTTGAAGGTTCCATGTCAGATTCTTCAACTCTCTCATTGCTACTTCCTTGTTTATCTTGTGGTAAACTCATGTCCCTCATTGACTCCTTATCTTTATTTGGCTGCTCTTTGTTCCTATTTTTTCCTTGAGATACTTCCATACATGAGGAAGAAGGAATGCGGTTCTCCTTAACTCCCACCTTTCCTGTCAAACTATGCTTTTCATTCACAACTTCCATGGAGCTTAGACTTTCTTCATATTCCAGCTTCTGAGTATATCCTTTTAATGGATTCTTTTCCTCTTCGGATCCACCCATACAGAGGTTACCTCGGGTTTTGTGAGGTCAACCTCAACTCTAACCCTAGCCATACTCGGTAGAGTTCTATAGTCTGTGGCTATATCCATACTGATAGGAGTTTCAACCGGACCAAGAACTTATTTCATAAAGTTCCAAGTATGGCACTGATAAGGTAGCCCGGGAAGTAATAACCATACAGGGAAAATTAGAGAGTCTTCCTCGGGCTTAAAGTCGGGGGTCCATATTTGGAGCCACATCTGGTGCCCCTCAATATCAATTGATCGCTTGTACCCAACACTTTTAAAGTGTTCTTCATCCAAGAATCGATAAAGGCAGTGTGAATTTTCCCGATTTGACTCGGTTTATCAAACCTCGTACAATTTGTTGGTATTTTTTTTTACATTCCTATGTTTCATCCATATTTTTTTAAAATTATCTTTTCATAAGAAAATGAAAAAAATGAGAAAAAATATTGACACTCACTATGAAAGACTCCTGCTAATACTATTATTACTAAGACTAGAAGCCTCGATTACTTCACACAATTAAAATGCTCATAATGTTGATTATAAATTTATTATCTTGAACAGAAGTTGAACATTGTTTCGCTGAATTAACTATCCCAATATGCTTACCAATAAGTCGCTATCTTTAGGTTTGCTACGGAAATTTTGGTAAGGTTATTGTATATAACAAATTTAAATTTGTTTTGAAACAATAAAAGAAGAAGAATAGTATTGAATAGAAAAGTAGGGAGAGAGAATTCTTATTGATTTTGAGATCAATTACAATGAAATAGAACCCTTCTATTTATAGGGGAATAGTGACTTAGTCACCAAGTAACAAACCCTAAAATCTCTAAAATATAGACATTCACCTTAAATACAATTCTATTTATAACACTCCCTTGAATGTCTATTCAACAGATAATGTGCCTCGTTAAAACCTTAACTAAAACAAAATCCAGTGGGAAAAAAATTGTAGAGAAGGAAAAAGAGTACACATATCTAACAATACACCTTTTGGTTGCCTCATTAAAAACCTTGCAAGAAAAACCGATTGGGACAAAACCTTGTAAGGGAAAAAGAGTACAATGCATATTAACTCCCCCTTATGAGAGCATCAATTCACATCTTTGAGCTTTCACATCCCAATCTTGTGCACTAGCTTCTTGAAGGTTGACGTCGGCAGAGATTTAGTGAATGAATCACCCATATAAACTCCAATAAATATGTTGCACCTTGAAAATTCTCGCTATCACATTATCATGCTTATAGTTATAGCAAGATACAAATGTTCATAAATTGCATTTAGGATGTAGTATTTTATGACCAAGAATTCTATATGCTTTAAGCAATTTAAATCCTTCAGGGATTGTCATATAAGTATAGTCATATAAGCCATATGAATGGACTTTAGATGCATATCAAGTTTTTATGTCATGCTAGACAAATAAGATATCGAAAACTGATTGCACATATCATTGACTTTATACTTTCAAGTGTTTGAACCACTTATTCAAAACTTTTTCTACATGTCTTTCATATGAAACCAATTCTATTTGAATTGTGTCTCTTCTCTTTGGCCAATATTTTTGTGTCTGTATTCGACAAACTTAAGATCCTCATCTATACTTAGCGATATCATAGATGTCGTCGACGAATATTTATATCAGTTCCAACCTCCTTATTTTTCATAAAGACATAACATAGAGATCTCTTCATTCATATATTCAGGTGCCTGAATCTCTCATGAGATTTTATGAAGTGTTATGTGATGTAACCTTCTAGATCACTTGCCTCCTTTATTATGATCATTTAGATCATTTGCTCATCTTCTTTATCAAGAAGTTTATTTGAGACCGATTTGTCTATATGCTTTAAGCGTACCACAAATTTTGTCCTTCTAGGACTTACTATGAGCATTTGCAATGATAACATAATTACTTTTATTGGGTTAGCAAATGCGTCTAGCATGCTTTGCAATATGTTGAAAATGAATTATCTTTTTTTATGAACCACAAGTTCATATTATCTTATTCGAGGATCTAGATGTACAAATGATAATTAATTCCACGTAATTTTTTCTCAACTGTTTATCTTATCTCCCCTCATGTTAGAAAAATTAACTTGTTTCCTCAACTTTGATAACCAATCTTTGTGCGTTATGGTGTTAATCAAAATATACACTGCACATCAACAATAATAAGATGAATTATTTGGTTCCTGTCACTGAACCACTTACGAGGGGAGAATGTAATTTACTTTTGTATATAACCTATATCAAACTGATATAGATAACTTTGATATCATAAACAATAGTTTAGCTATTAAGTGGAGCACTCAATAAATTATTTTGCTAAACCAACTTTGATGTAAACCAACTTATTAAGATGAATTTCTTGAATAGAAAATCTGGAAATTATACTCGAAATTAAATTATTGAGCAAGTTACCTCGCAAACACCGTGTTGAGGGTTAGTAATAATCGCACACGTAACCATATCATAGATGCATCTTATGTGGTATACATGGCAGATGAATGGGCCCATATTCACCTTTGAAATTTCCAGCATTCATGGGATTCAATCCCAATTTTAGTTGGTATATTAATTAATGAGAACATGCAACATAAGAGAATTCATAAAGAACTTTCTAGTTCTTTAATATTTACCCATGTGAATTCTCTTTTATTTTTGCACATCATGCTTAATTTGATATGGCTAAACTGATTATGCCAACTGGATAAATTATCAATATTGATAAATTTAGGTTTACACCATGACGTGTGCAATTATCAATAAAATCCAAGTTTATTATGATATGAGTTTTTATATCAATAAACTTCTACTTTATTGTGGCATTATTTTATTTATGTAGTACAAATTGGAGAATAAAGCAGGTAACTTTTCACATACATATTACCCCGCTACAAGCTGTAGTAATAGAAGATATTAAATCTTTCCTTTATTTATAGTCTCAATATAATCAACCACTTTCGCTATACTTTGGAAACTGAATAAGTTTCTTTGAGACTTACTACAACACAATACCTTATTGGTAATCAATTGTGTTTCTCCAAAATAGTATAATTGGCTCTTGGAGAGTTCTCAATTAATTTTATACTATCACATATTCATCAACATCCATATGGTGAATATCTCTTTTAAAGATAAAGTTATACCATTATGGTTATGGTCAAAATTATATGCAAGATATGCTTCTTGCATTAATGTTATTCTTTAATAATCACATTACCAAATAATTTGACGTGCAAAAGGTATGTGACCAATGACCATTCATGCCATAATAATGACATTATTTTCTTATATCATCTCAAACCTCCTTCTAGAGGTGAGTGTTGTGGTATATTCATCACCACTAGCACGTTCATATTCTTCCAAAAATGAATATGTATTCATAAATCAGATGTTGTCACATTCACATCAAGAATGGACCATAATCATCTATATGTGCTTTATAAAATCCCATATCAAATCGATGACAAATATTACTTTCACAGAGTGAAGGATTTTTTTGAGAATCCTTATTATTCTCATTATCACAATGATGACGATTATAATTTCGTCTATTGCCACGTCCACATCCATTGATACCTTTATTGGGGTTGAAGTGTGGTAGTGTGAATGGGAAATGAGGGAAGAAGGTGAAAAGACAACTTTGGCTTTTGCACTTTGTCCCTCATTGGTTAAAGACAAGTATTTTGTTGGGTTTAAATATAGAAGCACTTCCTTAAGCTCTTAAAGGAGCTAAGAGGAAGGGGCCTTACGTCATCGTCGTCATCGCTCGCTCGGCTTCGGCTTCGGATTTGGATTCGGTCAATTGATATGATTGTTTGACTTAATTTTTTGGACCAATAAAATAAAATTAATTAATTAAATATTAATATTTTGAGTGACCGTTATTTGTGACGATAAATTAATTAATTTCCGTCTTTAATTTTATTCAAATATTCCCGCGTTAAACAGCCACCAGAGAGGCTGTATTTCACGAATAGCCACCTGCAGTGGGAACAACCACTTTCACACCCTTTCAATCCAGAAATCCGTTGGCTATAAATAAGCAGCCATTCCTTCAGAATTTTCATCCTGAAATCTTCTGCTTCATCTCCTTCTTCTTTCTGCATCATTACTTTCAAAACAAAGTAAGTGGGTCGTGTGATTTGCACCATTATTTTGAGTTTGCTGATAACTTAGTGGTTTGAAGTGCCGCTACCGCTAAGTTGGAAGTTCCGTTCTATCCTTGGAAGAATTTATCCGTGAACCTTGGGAAACAGTGAGGGGATAAGATTCTTTAAGGACACACAAGGAATTTGTGGGCTCGGGACAAAATACTGCCAATTTATATTCATTTATTTTTCCTGTTTTAGTCACTTATAAATTCAGAATATCTAACAAGCTTAAAGAATCTTATTCATATATATATCCTTGCTGTTCTGATTTTCAATGTGACTGAGGAGACTAAAACCTTCGTGGTTTCTACTCCTAATCAGTTTGAATAATAATCTCTTCACTGTGTTAAAATCAGTTTGAAGAATAATCTCTTCACTGTGTTAAAATCAGTTTGAAGAATAATCTCTTCACTGTGTTGTCTTGGGTTGAAGGATTAAATACTTCACCATTTACTGAATCTGTTTGTTTCATATTGACAGAAATGACTAACGGAGAGGAACAAATTGATCCTGCTATGACTGTTACTGCTAACACAGTTTCGGGGATGCCAGGTCCTAGCCGTCCTACTGCACCTGCAACGGCTATGCCACCAGCAGAAAAGCCGGGGAAATTTTCTGGTGTTGACTTTAAGAGATGGCAGCAAAAGATGTTCATTTATCTGACCACTCTAAGTCTGCAAAGGTTCATTCAAGAGGATGTTCCAGTCGTGCTTGAAGGAACCCCTGACAACGAGCGCTTCCTTGTTACTGATGCTTGGAAGCACTCTGATTTCCTGTGCAAAAATTACATTTTAAGTGGGCTGGAAGATGGCCTGTACAATGTTTATAGCGTCATGAAAACATCAAGAGAATTATGGAATGCTCTTGAAAAGAAGTACAAGACTGAAGATGCTGGACTAAAGAAGTTTGTGGCCGCCAAATTTCTGGATTTCAAAATGATTGACGGTAAATCTGTCATAACGCAAGTCCAAGAATTGCAAGTTATTGTTCATGACCTCCTTGCTGAAGGTATAAAACGAGTCAATATTTTTATTCAAGATATTAATTATTGTACTAATTATAAATTTATGATTGAAGGTATGGTCAAAAATGAAGCGTTTCAAGTTGCGGCATTTAGTGAAAAGCTGCCTCTGCTGTGGAAGGACTTTGAGAATTACTTGAAACATAAGCGCAAAGAGATGACGCTTGAAGACCTTATTGTTCGTCTACGGATTGAAGAGGACAACAAGGCTGCTGAAAAGAAATATCGTGGAAGTTCAACAATAATGGGTGCAAATATTATTGAGGAAGCTTCAACGAGTAAAAAGAGAAAGAAGTCGTCTGGATCAAAGAATTATCCAAGCAAGAAGAAGTTCAAAGGTAATTGCCACAACTGTGAAAAGGTTGGACACAAGGCTACTGAATGTCGTGCAGCAAAGAAGGACAAGAAGAAAAGTCAAGCAAACATGATTGAGAAGAATGATGAAATAGACGACCTATGTGCCATATTTTCAGAATGCAACCTAGTCGGAAATCCTAGAGAATGGTGGATTGATTCGGGAGCAACTCGACATGTTTGTGCTAACAAGGAGTTGTTTACTTCTTATGCTCCTGCTGGACCCAACGAGACAATGTTTATGGCAAACTCCGCTACTGCAAAAATTGAAGAAACGGGCAAGGTGGCTTTGAGGATGACTTCGGGAAAGATTGTGACTCTAAAAGATGTTCTTCATGTTCCTGAAATGCTTGAAGAATTTAGTCTCGACATCACTTCTAGTCAAGAATGGCTTTAAGTGTGTTTTTGTTTCCGACAAGGTTGTAGTTAGTAAGAATGAAATGTATGTAGGAAAAGGTTACCTGACTGAGGGCCTTTTTAAACTCAATGTAATTGCCATTGATATGAATAAAATTTCAGCTTCTTCTTACTTGCTTGAGTCAAATAATTTATGGCATGAATGTTTAGGCCACGTCAACTTCAAAACTTTGCGAAAACCGATTAATTTGGAAGTATTACTTAAGTTTGAATGCAATAACTCGAAATGTCAAATATGTGTGGAATTAAAGTATGTTAAGCATCCTTATAAGTCAGTTGAAAGGAATTCAAATCCTTTAGACTTAATTCACACGGATATTTGCGACATGAAGTCAATACCATCTTGCGGTGGGAAAAAGTATTTCATAACTTTCATTGACGACAATACTAGATATTGCTATATTTACTTACTTAATAGTAAAGATGTAGCAATAGACGCATTTCAAGCAATACAAAAATGAAGTTGAAACGCAATTAAACAAAAAGATCAAAATGATAAGAAGTGATAGAGGCGGCGAATATGAATCTCCTTTTGAAAAAATATGTTTGAAAAATGGCATTATTCACCAAACAACTACCCCTTACTCACCACGATCTAATGGAATGGCGGAAAGAAAGAATAGAACGTTAAAGGAGATGATGAACGCCTTATTAATAAGTTCTGGTTTACCTCAGAACTTGTGGGGGGAAGCTATTCTTACAGCTAATCGAATACTGAATCGAGATCCCCATAGCAAAACACAATCCATTCCATATGAAAAATGGAAAGGAAGGAAACCCAACTTAAAATATTTTAAAGTGTGGGGGTGTTTGGCTAAAGTGCAAGTTCCTAAACCCAAAAGGGTAAAAATTGGACCAAAAACCGTTGATTGTGTTTTCGTAGGATATGCAACAAATAGTAAGGCATATCGGTTTCTGGTTCATAAATCAGAAAATCCCGACATTCATATAAATACAGGTAATTGAATCGGATAATGCTGAATTTTTTGAGAATATTTATCCGTATAAAATGGAATGTGATTCGTCTAATGAAAAATCTAAGCGACCTCAAGAAGAAGCAAAGGAAAGTACATTTGATGAGGAAAATCCAAGACGTAGCAAACGTCAAAGGACAGCTACTTCCTTTGGACCAGATTTTCTGGCATTCTTATTGGAAAATAAGCCTCAAACGTTCAAAGAAGAAGTGTCTTCTCGGAAGCACAATATTGGAAAGAGGCAGTCAATAGTGAGATAGAATCCATATTAAGTAATCATACTTGGAAATTGGTTGATCTTCCTCCGGGAAATAAACCTTTGGGTTCTAAATGGATTTTCAAAAGGAAAATGAAAGTTGATGGTACTATTGACAAAAATATGGCAAGATTAATTGTTAAAGGGTTTAGACAACGAGAAGGTCTTGATTACTTTGACACATACTCGCCGGTAACAAGGATTACATCTATCCGGGTGTTAATAGCGTTAGCCGCCGTGTATGTTAGATCCTACAGACTCCTCAAGGTCTAGATTTGTCTCAACCTCATTATGTTAAAATGGTTCTTGAAAAGTTCAATTATTTGGACTTTAAAGAAGCAAAAATGCCAATTGATTTAAACCATATTCTTGTAAAGAATAAAGGTGAAAGCAAATCTCAATTGGAATATGCTCGAGTGTTGGAAGTTTGATGTACATTATGAATTGTACACGACCTGATATAGCTTGTGCAATAAGCAAGCTTAGTCGATACGCAATTTATCCCAATCATGCTCATTGGATAGCAATAAAATGAGTTTGGGATATTTGAAATATACTCAAGACTATGCATTGCATTACAATAATTATCCCGCAGTTATTGAGGGATATAGTGATGCAAATTGGATTACCGGATCAACGGAAACAAAATCCACAAGTGGATACGTTTTTACCATTGGTGGAGGAGAAGTGTCTTGGAAGTCGTCCAAACAAACATGCATCGCTCGCTCTAAAATGGAGTCTGAGTTTATAGCTTTAGACAAGGCCGATGAAGAAGCTGAATGGCTCCGGAATTTCTTAGAAGACATTCCTTTTTGGCCCAAACCTTTGGCACCTATATGCATACATTGCAACAGTCAAGCAGCAATAGGAAGGGCTGGGAGTGTTATGTATAACGGGAAATCTCGTCACATTCGACGAAGGCATAATACCCTTAGACAACTACTCTCTAGTGGAATTATCACAATTGACTATGTAAAGCCAAAAGATAATGTATCAGATCCACTTACAAAAGGCCTACCTAGAGAGGCGGTTGAGAAGTCATCAAAGGGAATGAGACTATGGTCGAGGACAAGTCACTATGGCGGTAACTCTACCTAGAAGACTGGAGATCCCAAGATCTAGATTCAAGGAGATCAAACAAAGTCATTAGTGACGGTCCAACATTATCAAATAAAATATTGGTCCATTCTCGTGATGCAGACAATGTTCAGTACCAAGGATAAAGCGTTAGGAATTTTTAATGATTTCTAACTTTGATATGGGGTATATCAAATAATGTATCTACGTGATAACACGTTTAGGAATCACCTATATAAGTGTGAAGTGTAAGCCGCTTCAAAGAGAATGTTGTAAGGCCAGTTCTCTACGCACTTATGAAACCAGACGATGTTCATGGCTAAAAAGAACACAATAATGAGAACCAAAAGATGGATAAGGATTAATTGTGTGACATATGTTGTCTAGGTATACACTAAAGCTCGACGGTTCAAAGATATCAAATATACCGATTGATCGAGTATATCCAATATATGCTCACTACGGAAAGTTCAAAGGGAAACCTACTTATCCCGATGCAATTAGTCCTTAGTTGCGAATCACAAAAATTTTTTCATGCATGTTCATCATTCCCCATTCATGTGGGGGATTGTCGGGGTTGAAGTGTGGTAGTGTGAATGGGAAATGAGGGAAGAAGGTGAAAAGGCAACTTTGGCTTTTGCACTTTGTCCCTCATCGGTTAAAGACAAGTATTTTGTTGGGTTTAAATATAGAAGCACTTCCTTAAGCTCTTAAAAAGAGCTAAGAGGAAGGGGCATCGCGCCGTCGTCGCTCGCTCGCTCGCTCGGCTCGGCTCGGCTTCGGACTCGGTCAATTGATATGATTGATTGACTTAATTTCTTGGACCAATAAAATGAAATTAATTAATTAAATATTAATATTTTATATTAATATTTTGAGTGACCGTTATTTGTAACGATAAATTAATTAATTTCCGTCTTTAATTTTATTCAAATATTCCCGCGTTAAACAGCCACCAGAGAGGTTGTATTTCACGAATAGCCACCTGTAGTGTGAACAACCACTTTCACACCCTTTCAATCCAGAAATTCGTTGGCTATAAATAAGCAGCCATTCCTTCAGAATTTTCATCCTGAAATCTTCTGCTTCATCTCCTTCTTCTTTCTGCATCATTACTTTCAAAACAAAGTAAGTGGGTCGTGTGATTTGCACCATTATTTTGAGTTTGCTGATAACTTAGTGGTTTGAAGTGCCGCTACTGCTAAGTTGGAAGTTCCGTTCTATCCTGGGAAAAATTTATCTGTGAACGTTGGGCAACAGTGAGAGGATAAGATTCTTTAAGGACACACAAGGAATTTGTGGGCTCGGGACATAATTGATAACTAGGGATTTTGACGTGTTTCATGCTCCTTCTTGCTTATGCTTTGATTATAAATTCTTACAAAATAGTCCCAAAAGGATCATAAGTTGTGCTTGATTGCAGATTTAATCGACAAAGTGACAAAATGTCAAACATCGGCTCAAAAGGAGTGAAACCTGCTCAAGTACCTAAGACAAGGCAAAACTAAGGAGAACAGCACTTTGTGCGGTCCGCACTAGAGAGATTCAGAGAGTCCGAAATTAAGACTTCAAGAAACGCGGCCGCACTCATTATGTGCGGTCCGCGGTGAAGGCTCCGCGGCCGCACTACCATTTTGTGCGGTCCGCGGAATAGAAGTTCAGAGAGGTGAAAATTGCCATGGTTCAAGCTGCGCGGTCCGCAGTGATATTTGTGCGTACCGCATTAGAGACCTCCGCGGCTGCGGTCCATTCTGCGCAGTCCGCAGAGCCTGAGTTCAGAGAGCCAAGATTGCAAGTCCAAGAGCCTAGTGCGGCCGCAGTCCATTTTGTGCGGCCCGCACTGACCCCGCAGGGGCATTTTTGTCCAGTTTTTCTAGCTTAGTATAAATAGAACCTTTTTCCATTTTTAGGGCATCAGTTATTTTATTTTAGCAGCTGCGCTCGTGAGAACATCATCTGTAGCCATTTTTGGCATCTTAGCTTAGTTTTAACAATAGATTCTTGTGTTTAACTTTAGTGTTTAATTAATATGTCTTCTTCTTCATCTATTTCTCTATTTTCTTGTTCAAGCATGAGTAGCTAAACCCATTAGCTAGGGTTGTGGCTCAACCCTAGTGTGGGTAATTGATGGGTGTTGTAATTTAAGGTTAGATTGATTATGTGTGTTTGTTATTTGGGTCAATTTTATGGTTTAATTTATGAATTAGTGGTTGCAAACACTAGTTTGTGCTTAGTACGCATGGGCTCTTCTTGAGAAAGAGAGCCTAAGTCTCCAAAATTGATTCAACAAGGAATTGAGATGGACTCAAGAGATTTGATAGTCCCAATTAAAGGGTTAAACCTCGAGAGAGTAATTACCCGACTTGACCCCTAGTTGATTGGGCAATTATGCATACCCAATTGGTCTCGAGAGAGTCAATTGGGCAAAACCACTCTTTCTACCGAGAGGTGTAGAGTGGGTAGTATTGAGCAACGGTTATAACATATTTCCCCAATCATGTCAATCGTACCTTAGATGCAATTTAATCGTCAATTAGCCACCTAGGTGAAAGTCACTACCCTAGTGCCTTTTAAACCATTAAATACAACTTGTAGCAATTTACTCTTAGCTTAATCTAGTTGCATTTTCAATTAGTAGTTTAATTATAGTAGAATATAAAGAAAACCCAAAAA